TTTCTTTCTTTCTTTCTTTCTTCCCTCCTTCTTTCCTTCCTTCCTTCTTTTTTCTTTCTTTCTTTCTTTCTTTCTTTCTTTCTTTCTTTCTTTCATTCATTCTTCCTTCCTGTCTTCCTTCCTTTCTTTCTTTCTTTCTTTCTTTCTTTCTTTCTTTCTTTCTTCCCTCCTTCTTTCCTTCCTTCCTTCTTTTTTCTTTCTTTCTTTCTTCATTTCTTTCTTTCTTTCTTTCTTTCTTTCATCCTTTCTTCCTTCCTTCCTTTCTTTCTGTTCACAGTATCTGGAGCTCTCCTGAAGAACAGAAACGGTGCAGCATTACTTCTCGTTTCAGTAACAGACATTATTAAGCTCATTAATCTCAGCATGTTGTTCCTCTGTAAAGTTACAGAGATGAAACACCTGCAGTAAATAAACAACCCAGAGTGGATTTATAACAGGAAATGAGCAGAAAACTCTGGGCTGAATTCTGTAGGATTTAAACGTGTCTCAGCTGATCGACTACACTCGGTGGGATTGGGGTGAACTGGGGAATCTGATTTTTATTGCCACTATCAATGTAACCATGTAAATCAGTGTGTGTGATTTATCAGCAGCGTAGAGGACAAACCAGGAAACCCCAAACCAGCAGGCGCCTACAGAACATCATCAATAATGACTGAGGAGCCTCTGAGCTGAAGCTCCTCACACACTCAGTATAAACATGAACCTGTGTGCTCACGGCTGTGAGTGTAGAGTGTAGAGTTAGTGTGGAGAGTCAGAAATACAGAAAACAGTGAAGAGTTCAGAGCTGAGACGTCTACAAGGATTATGATCGATTTAAACCCAAGACATTAATAGAGACAGTAATAATCCAAATATATACACATCATCATTTATAGGGTCCTTTATAGGGTCCTTTCTCTCGGGGGGGCATCTGTCCCAAACCCTGACCCCTAAATTTACACCTCCAAAAATAATACTTCCTTTTTTTAGTTTATTTGATGTAAAGTTGATTGAGATTTATCATGAGTAAAATTTTTAAACTAAAAAGCTTTATTAAAAAAAACACATACAGTTTTAGTCTGAGGGTGGAGCCTTATTTTAGCCACGCCCCTGCATTTCAGAGCAGGAAGTGAGGCTGCATCTCTGTCCCTCATGGCCACATGGTGAGCAGTTAGATCCCATTGTTTTGAAGTAAATGAGTCCCAAAGTCTGAAAATCAGTGTGGAACATTAAGAATCGTCATATTTTCATCAGTTCAGCACTTTTTAGTGTTTTAGTGTAAAATATGATGATTTTCGGTGTGAACAGCTGTTCAAAGCTGTGTTTCTCGTCATGAACTGCTGAGTTTCTGAGCTCAAAATGAGCTGAAACTGTCACTGAAACAGTCACTACTGAAACAGTCACTACTAAAACAGGCACTACTGAAACAGTCGCTACTGAAACAGTCACTACTGAAACAATCACTACCGAAACAGACACTACTGAAACAGACACTACTGAATCAGTCACTACTAAAACAGTTGCTACTGAAACAGTCACTACTGAAACAGTCACTACTGAAACAATCACTACTAAAACAGTCGCTACTGAAACAGTCACTACTGAAACAGTCGCTACTGAAACAGTCACTACTGAAACAATCACTACCGAAACAGACACTACTGAAACAGACACTACTGAAACAGTCGCTACTGAAACAGTCACTACTGAAACAATCACTACCGAAACAGACACTACTGAAACAGACACTACTGAAACAGTCACTACTAAAACAGTCGCTACTGAAACAGTCACTACTGAAACAGTCACTACTGAAACAATCACTACCGAAACAGACACTACTGAAACAGACACTACTGAAACAGTTGCTACTGAAACAGTCACTACCGAAACAGTCACTACTGAAACAATCACTACCGAAACAGACACTACTGAAACAATCACTACTGAAACAGTCGCTACTGAAACAGTCGCTACTGAAACAGACACTAATGAAACAGTCACTACCGAAACAGACACTACTGAAACAGTCACTACTGAAACAATCACTACTGAAACAGACACTACTGAAACAGTCGCTACTGAAACAGACACTACTGAAACAGTCACTACCGAAACAGACACTACTGAAACAGTCACTACTGAAACAGACACTACTGAAACAGTCACTACTGAAACAGCCACTACAGTCACTACTGAAACAATCACTACCGAAACAGACACTACTGAAACAGTCACTACTGAAACAGTCACTACTGAAACAATCACTACCGAAACAGTCACTACTGAAACAGACACTACTGAAACAATCACTACCGAAACAGTCACTACTGAAACAGTCACTGAAACAGTCACTACTGAAACAATCACTACCGAAACAGACACTACTGAAACAGTCACTACTGAAACAGCCACTACAGACACTACTGACACATTTGGTACAGTTTGGTAGAGTTATGACTGTTTTGGTAGAGACAGAATGGAATATTCAATTATTAGTTTTAATAAAATAAACATGATTAAGGTTTAGAGTCACTCAGAGCAAAAGGATTTCAGTCTGAAGTCCAAATCAGCTAAAATCCCAAACGTGTTTCAGCTCTGACTCTGAACCAGTTCAGTAGGGCGATGTGTGTGTATGTACAGACTGTGTTGTGTAGAAGGGAAAGCCCACCTGACACTTATTAAATTTCTAGATTTCTAGTCAAAACGGACATCAATCTCAGGAAAGAAGCAGAAAACACATATTTAACCAAAACCTCCACAGAAGCCTCAGCAGCTGAATCTAATCTCAGCTGTCTGATTGTTCAGTGAGTCTCTCTTCACCTTTATTCCAGCTTCCATTCTGTTCAGGTGACTCACTTTCAGTTCCTCAAAGAATCTGCAGACACACCTCCAAAGTTCAGAAGCTGGTCTAGTATTTTTTGCGTCTCATCATCCAAGTCATCAAATTACAAATCTGGACGCATCGGTCAGTAAAACCTTACTCCACAATTCAGGTGTCTGATATACACTGTGTGGCCAAAAAATAGGTGGACACTCTCCTAATTATTGAGTGCAGGTGTTTCAGCCACACCTAGGTGGGTAAACTCTCACAGCCATGCAGTCTCCATAGACACACACTGGCAGTGGAACGGGTCGCACTGAAGACTGTCACGTGTGGAGGCTCATGGTAGGCCACGCCCTCCTAAAAAGGGCTGTTTATTGTTATTGCTGCCGTTGCTTTTAGTTTAAGTTGTGTCGAGTTATTTTGCGCTGCTTTAATAGACCCTTTTCACATTTCTGCATTGTTTCAGCTGGAACTTCTCGTTACAGAGTAACGCTGCTTCTGCTAAAGCAACAACGATGACGAGTAGAGCCTGTACAGCTCACTGAAGGGTTCGGGCCTGAAGCAAAAACAGCCTCATCTCAGTTTCAAGTCAGGCTTTATTGTCATTTCAACTCTATATAAGTACACAGTGAAACGAAGCAACGTTCCTCCAGGACCAACACAGGAACACGAGACAATACGATAAACACAGTGCAGACAGTACAATAAACACAGCGCAGACAGTACAATAAACACAGTGCAGACAATAAAATAAACACAGTGCAGACAGTACAATAAACACAGTGCAGACAGTACAATAAACACAGTGCAGACAATACAATAAACACAGTGCAGACAATACAATAAACACAGTGCAGACAATAAAATAAACACAGTGCAGACAGTACAATAAACACAGTGCAGACAGTACAATAAACACAGCACAGACAGTACAATAAACACAGTGCAGACAGTACAATAAACACAGTGCAGACAATACAATAAACACAGTGCAGACAATACAATAAACACAGTGCAGACAATACAATAAACAGTGCAGACAGTACAATAAACACAGTGTAGACAATACAATAAACACAGTGCAGACAATACAATAAACACAGTGCAGACAGTACAATAAACAGTGCAGACAGTACAATAAACACAGTGCAGACAATACAATAAACACAGTGCAGACAATACAATAAACACAGTGCAGACAATACAATAAACACAGTGCAGACAACACAATAAACACAGTGCAGACAATACAATACAATAAATAAATACTAAAGACTTACAGTAAATACAGAACAGAGCACAGGCAGCACACGGTACTGAGAGGATGAGGAGCTGTGCAAAGGAGGATGGAACACACTATGACATTAGCAGGTTAGTAGATAGCCTAGCATATATTCAGTTGTTAGTCAGAGGAAAAAGAGTTTGTGTGATTAATAAAGGAATAAACTGTCATAAAGAGTAAAAGATCCTCTGTGTCACTGTTTCACTGCTGCTGACTGACGTTACACTGAATGCAGTTTGTGCTTTAAAGTTGCTGCTTCAGCCGCTTTCAGAGGAACAGTTTTCATTTCCTCCCTCTAAAGCTGATTTTCTGCAGTTATCGGATTATTGAGTGCATGTAAACACACTCAGAGACACAGTGACTCTCCGGTCTGTGGTGCTGAAGTGATACGAACGCCTGTATTTCTGAAGAGTAACTGTCCGAAAGACGAGAAGGGAACTTGTTTTACCAGCGTTTACTGTTTACACACTTCCCTGTCTTGTGAAAAGGGCCTATTAGTGTGTTTTGTGTGGGGGTTGGTCATCGTGAGGGTGGAGCCTGTGGCTGGTGATGACGTCCCCCATGAGTTCAGTGCTTCTGCATGTGCCTCTCCGCAGTGGTGTTTAATAAAGAGCGTCTCGTGGTGGAAATAACAGCCTCCCAGGTGTCTCACTGTACTACAGTGGGTATATAGCCAAAAGCAGCTTACTTCCTAGTCTTGTGGCTGAATGCCATCAAATCCTCACAGCAATGTTCCATTATCTAGTGTAAAGCCTTTTCATTCGCGCTGCTGAGCCTTAATGATGAACATCATCCTTAGCCATCAGTAGGATCCGGCGCTGAGCGCGCATGCGCCGAGCCGCCCCTCCCGTCCTGCTGCTCCCTCAGTGCGCAGCTCTCTCTCTCTCTCTCATTTATTCATTTATTCACTCACTCATCCTCTTATTCTGCCTCGCACTCGTCTGTTCGCGCACGCCGGGGTTTGGGATCGTGTTTGCTCGGCATGATGGGAGATTTAAACCCGCACAGCGCCGAGGAGAAGAAGTGAAGGAGTGGAAAAGATGAAATAAGGCAGAGAGAGAGAGAGAGAGAGATACAGCACGAGCGCGGAGGAGTGGACGGAGGGCAGGTGAGAGACGAGTCAACATCTGCTTGTTTTTGGCTTCTTAACCTCGCCTTATTGGAACTGTCCGTTCCACCTTAAATGGTGCAGCAGTTACATTCTGGCGCTTCAGGCACTCTAACGTAACTGCTGCACCATTTAAGGTGGAACGGACAATTGGACCAAGAAGCCAACTTCAGTCTGTTTTTTTGGCTTATATGTTTGTGTTTTCGTTCATTAATGTGTTTATAGACGTTATCGTTGTCTCGTGACCCCGTTCTTGTCCAGCTGAAGGACAAACGGTCACTAATTGATCCACAATAGCGAGCTAATTTCCAATAGCGCGCACAGCTGCGCTCCGGATTAGCGTTAAAGGGCCAATCACCGCCGGACTGGACCGGCCAGCGGACGGTGTCCTTGTGTTCCGTCGTCTCCAGCCTGCAGTTTCTCACCTGTTCACGCGGTCACGTGTCCTTACGAGCGCCGTGACGTCACCCAGGGTGAATCACTGAGCATGAATGGAGTGGGTTTACTACAGGCTACTACGCTGAGCACTGATGGGCTGGCTGACTGGGACTCATGCAGTGTATCTGTTGGATCTGTTTTTCCCCAAAATATCCTTAAAATAGACCCGATTTTATATTCCTGATCCAGAATGAAGCGTAAACTGGATTCAGTTCGATTTCAGAGCGTTTTCTGTGTTAAAAATGTTTTTATTTGCTCCACAAATTGGATTAAATACTAATTTTATTTTCAAACAATTGAAAATGTAACATTATTGCAAATTAAAGAAGAAAAGACAATACAGAGGCAGATAGGATGCACCCAGATGGATAAGCCCCACCCCTCACCGCCCACTTTACTCTAAAAGGATGCACCCAGATGGATAAGCCCCACCCCTCACCGCCCACTTTACTCTAAATAGGTGCACCTAGATTGATAAGCCACGCCCTCTCGCCAACTACTTAAATTTAAATCGTTGACCCAGAGGGCAAAGCCCCGCCCCTCACTCTAAAAGGATGTACCAAGATTGATAAGCCCCACCCACTTTACTGATAGGAAGCACTTATACAGATAAGCCCCCCCACTTTACTCTGATAGGAAGAACCCAGATGGATAAGCCCCACCCATTTTAGTCTTATAGGAAGCACCCAGATGTATAAGCCCACCCACTTTAGTCAGAAAGGAAGTACCCAGATGGATAAGCCCCACCCACTTTAATAGGAGGTACCCAGATTAATAAGACCCACCCACTTTATTGATAGGAAGCACTTATATGGATAAGCCCCACCCACTTAACTCTGATAGGAAGCACCCAAATCGATAAGCCCCACCCACTTTACTCTCATAGGAAGCACTCAGATGGACAAGCCCCACCCATTTTACTCTGATAGAATGTACTCAGATTAATAAGCCCCGCCCACTTTACTCTCACAGGAAGCACTCAGATTAATAAGCCCGGCCCACTTTACTCTCATAGTAAGCACTCAGATGGATAAGCCCACCCACTTTACTCTAATAGGAAGCACTCAGATGAATAAGCCCCGCCCACTTTACTCTGATAGGAAGCACCCAGATGGACAAGACCCACCCACTTCACTCTGATAGGATGCTTTGAGTTCATCACTATTCGTACCCCGGTGTATCAGCGCTACTGATGCGTCAGTGTTAGATGTACTGGACAGTAAATGGCTGTGGTCCTGATTTACAGGTTTTACAGCCGGAGGAGTAAAAATGGACGATTCTCCCACTAAACACCTGCTGGGGCCCAAGAAAAAGGTGAAAATCCACCCAAACACGGTGACGGTGAAATACGCCACCCACTTCCCTCAGCCCGGAGATGAGGGCTACGACGACGCCCCCAGCTTCGAGGACTTCAGCTCCTTTGTGGAGGAGACGTCAGACAGGAAGAGACTGACCTCTAGTGGACCCACCAGGTACGTCCACTTTTCTCACATTACTACGCTTTAGACTGTCTCTGCTGTTCCCCTGTGCAGTCGTGTCCCTGAGCACTCCTGGTCAGATTCCATGTTGTTGTTGATTTTCTAAGTGTAAATAAGTTACACATCCTCTACAGAGACTCACTTAATAAGGCATTTTTCTGCTAATCTTACTGCACAATTTTGGGTATATTTTGAGCTCAGCAGCTCCTTTACTCTGTGTAAAATGTCACAATGAATGGACCAACAGAAATGCTCTAATATTGCTTCTGATTCAGTCACTTTATGTTAACTTATATTTGATATAAGGAAGGTTTTTACCCTCTCCTGTAACGTTACCATTTTGGAGATACATGTTTTTCTTTGGCCAGCAATGATATGCTGTATGAATTATAAATAAAGTAATGTGTTGCTGTTGTCAGATGAAAACCTTGTATCTCCAGAATGGTAACTTTACTGGAGAAGGAAAAAAAACGTACTGTACTTTTACTGTAAGTCAATGGAACCAGACTTTTTTCCAGGTCATTTTAGGTCGTTTCTTTTAGTCCATTCATCATGAAATTTACACACAATGTAAAGAGCATCAGGTGTTTTCAAATCATGTAAAAAACTGAAAAACGTCAAAAATGGAGATAGAAGGTTTTCTTCTGACAGCAGTGATATACTAATGTTTATTGTGTGTAGTTTAGTGTGCAGTGCTGCACTGCCCTGTTTATGATGGGATAGCTTATTGATAAAATTATCAATAACAATCCTGAAATCCATGAGTAATAGGTGTCATTGTTATATGCACGAGTGCTGAGTGTGCCGATCCGCTGCTCCAGTCCTGGTTTTGCATTTAGAAAAAGGATCAGAAACTACAAATACAGTGTGCAGTTTGTTTAGATTAAACATTTCCCATACTGCGCAGAGTCCATTTACCATCTATTAGACTCAGCATCATTAATCTGCCCACAGCAGGACAGCACATGTTGAACAGCATCACCATTAAAGACCACCTGTTACCTCGTCCAGAGCCCCACCACTCCAACACCACACTAACACACTAACACAGGAAGAATACAGGACAGAAAGACACGCCCAGGATATTGTCTCAAATACGTGTTATATAAAACTGCTCTGTGAGTCTGTGAGTCGCCCGTAAAGCCTGAAATGATCATTTAAAGTCAGAGGGAGTTTTTCACACCACGTCGTACGTCTTTACGCATTAACGCCACACACAGACTCGAAAAGAAGGTCCGGCTCAATGTTTAGGTCTCAAATGATCTCAGAATCAACACTGAAGATATGACGACAACAGTAGATAATTCTACACGTTGTGCGCAGTTACTCATTTTCACCAGAGAGGTCTCCAAATCCCCAAATCTTACATAGTGTAGTTTTCCTTCTCCTATAAAAGTTACTTACAATTCTGAATATGCAAAGTGTTGTTGTTACTACTGTAACCTTTCAATGTTACATTAACGTACATCAAAGTTAAAGCTGCTTATTTCTGTGTAAGATTTGCTGTTTAAACTGAAAGACGTGTCGTTACTGAGTTAAAGGATTAAAAACAGGCTAAAATATGATGAGTGTGAGCTGCTGTGAGTCCCCTGTAAAGCCTGAAATACTAATTTAATAGTCAGAGATGTCGAGTCTGGAGTTTTTCACACCGCGTCGTACGTCTTTACGCATTAAACATCACACATAGACTCAAAAAGAAGGTCCGGCTCGATGTTTCGGATTCATCCAGTCAGGACCAAAGAACAACCCACAGTGCAAATGTTCTGCATGTAGTTACACATTTCCACCAGAGAGGGCTCCAAATCTCCAAATTACACTGTGTAAAAAGTAGTTCTGGCAGCTTTGAGTAAAGCGACCATTGTTGTTGCTTAGCAACCTGTGGTGAGTGATGGTGAAAAAAAATGTATGGAGATAATTTTGTGCCAAAAGTTTCAAATAAAGTAGTAAAATCCACAAGCAAAGTATCAAAATGTTCAAAATATGTGTCACTCCAATCAGTTGACCAATAGATAGTGCAGGTGAACGCCTTTGTCTAAGACCCGCCCCCTGTTAAGAAGTGCCAGAGGTCAGAAGCAAAAGAAAGATTTCAGAACCAAAACATTCATCAGCAAAATCAGCAAACAGAAAAAAATAAAGCAGAAACTGTCAAAATGAGAAATACAATTATATCAAAATGAGTAAAAATTAGTAGTAATCTTTTTATAAAATTGAAAAAAAGTTTATTTTACATCTCATTATTTGTATATACTTCATATTTTGCTTGTGGATTTTATTTTATTTGAAACTTTTGGGAAAAAATTAACTTAAAAATAAAAATGTGCTGCTTTCAGAACAGAAGTAGAACACTCTCTAACCAATCAGAGAGTGTGGGCGGAGCCAACTGTTGGATGATGTTACAAAATTTAACATGATATTGTAAATTATATCATATTTTCATGAATTCAAGTTCTTCTTTATCTTGTTTTGGTTTTAATTAAATTATTTTTTAGCATTTTTATTGTTTTTATTTATTTGTCTTTTTTTACTGGTTTGATATGTTATTAAATTTGTAGGTCAGTGTTTCAGTTTTCAGTCCTCTGTTCTCTGTTCTAAAGCTCAGCTACTGTCCAGATGAGGGTCGAGTTTAAATGAAGATTGATTGATTGATTGGTTGATTGATTGACCGCTAAATTATAAAGATATTATAATTTATTGTCATCTTGACCCACAGTAAACCCTGCAGGACGTTTCTCGGCTCTCTGGACGGCCAGTCCAAACCTGGTGCGGATCAGAAGGTCAGCGGAGGGGTCGGAGGTCAGCTGCAGAGTTTCGGCGAGGCGTGTGTGTTCTCCTCGCGGCTAACGTGGGGCGCTCTGTTCGTAGCAGCGTTAGCGCATGGCTGCGTGGCACTGCTGACCCGTCTGGCCGCCGACCGCTCCAGAGTTCCCTCCCTGGAGCTGCTCTTCATCCGCTCCGTCATACAGGTGCTGTCTGTGGCCGTCGTTTACTACCACCAGGAGGCGCCGTTCGGGCCCAGCGGCTACCGGCTGCGGCTCTTCTTCTACGGCGTGTGCAATGTCATCTCCATCACCTGTGCTTACACGTCCTTCGCCATTGTCCCGCCGAGCAACGGCACCATCATGTGGCGGGCGACGACGACGGTGTTCAGCGCCATTTTAGCGTTCCTGCTAATAGATGAGCGGCTGGGGCTGATCGACATGGCCACTGTGGTCAGCAGCGTTTTCGGACTGTGCCTGGTCATGGTGCCCAACATCGTTAGCGAGAACAGATCGCTCGGGTTCTGGAAGGAGGCTTTCGGCTACACCATGACGGTCATGGCAGGTTTGACCGCTGCCCTCTCGATGATAATCTACAGGTCGATTAAAGAGAAAGTTAGCATGTGGACGGCCCTTTTCACGTTCGGCTGGACGGGGACGCTGTGGGGCGCCTGCACCATGTTCGTTCTGCAGGAGCCTATAATCCCTCTGGACGGGGAGACCTGGGCGTACCTCCTCAGCATCTGCCTCTGCTCCACCGTGGCTTTCCTCGGTGTTTATTACGCCCTGAACCGCCTGCACCCCGCGCTGGTCAGCACCGTCCAGCACCTGGAGATCGTAGTGGCAGCTCTGCTGCAGCTGCTCGTCCTGCACATGGCACCGTCCATCTATGATGTCATTGGAGGCTTCATCATCATCATTAGCGTCGTCATGCTCGCGGCAGTAAAGCTGTTCTGGGTGGGGAAGAGCCGGAGGCAGGAATACGAGGAAATCCTCGACTCGCCTATTAAGTGATTTTTGTTTGTTTATTTTCAGGCCACTTTGTCAAAATACCAAGCTGTAAACTAAAGACTGAAGCCCTGTTGGAGCTGAATTAGTTTTACCTGGACAGGGAGTAGGAAACAAACTGGATTCACACTGGATTAAAATCGCTCCACAATTATTACTGTCAGACCGTAAAACTACACACACTGCAGATTCATACTGGATTAAAATCACTCCACAATTATTACTGTACAACTACACACACTGCAGATTCATACTGGATTAAAATCACTCCACAATTATTACTGTAAAACTACACACACTGCAGATTCATACTGGATTAAAATCGCTCCACAATTATTACTGTAAAACTACACACACTGCAGATTCATACTGGATTAAAATCACTCCACAATTATTACTGTAAAACTACACACACTGCAGATTCATACTGGATTAAAATCACTCCACAATTATTACTGTAAAACTACACACACTGCAGATTCATACTGGATTAAAATCGCTCCACAATTATTACAGTCAGACTGTAAAACTACACACACTGCAGATTCATACTGGATTAAAATCACTCCACAATTATTACTGTAAAACTACACACACTGCAGATTCATACTGGATTAAATCACTCCACAATTATTACTGTAAAACTACACACACTGCAGATTCATACTGGATTAAAATCACTCCACAATTATTACTGTAAAACTACACACACTGCAGATTCATACTGGATTAAAATCGCTCCACAATTATTACTGTAAAACTACACACACTGCAGATTCATACTGGATTAAAATCACTCCACAATTATTACTGTAAAACTACACACACTGCAGATTCATACTGGATTAAAATCACTCCACAATTATTACTGTAAAACTACACACACTGCAGATTCATACTGGATTAAAATCACTCCACAATTATTACAGTCAGACTGTAAAACTACACACACTGCAGATTCATACTGGATTAAAATCACTCCACAATTATTACAGTCAGACTGTAAAACTACACACACTGCAGATTCATACTGGATTAAAATCACTCTACAATTATTACAGTCAGACTGTAAAACTACACACACTGCAGATTCATACTGGATTAAAATCACTCCACAATTATTACAGTCAGACTGTAAAACTACACACACTGCAGATTCATACTGGATTAAAATCGCTCCACAATTATTACTGTAAAACTACACACACTGCAGATTCATACTGGATTAAAATCGCTCCACAATTATTATTGTAAAACTACACACACTGCAGATTCATACTGGATTAAAATCGCTCCACAATTATTACTGTAAAACTACACACACTGCAGATTCATACTGGATTAAAATCACTCCACAATTATTACTGTAAAACTACACACACTGCAGATTAATACTGGATTAAAATCACTCCACAATTATTACAGTCAGACTGTAAAACTACACACACTGCAGATTCATACTGGATTAAAATCGCTCCACAATTATTACTGTAAAACTACACACACTGCAGATTCATACTGGATTAAAATCACTCCACAATTATTACTGTAAAACTACACACACTGCAGATTCATACTGGATTAAAATCACTCCACAATTATTACTGTAAAACTACACAAACTGCAGATTAATACTGGATTAAAATCACTCCACAATTATTACTGTAAAACTACACACACTGCAGATTCATACTGGATTAAAATCACTCCACAATTATTACTGTCAGACTGTAAAACTACACACACTGCAGATTCATACTGGATTAAATCACTCCACAATTATTACAGTCAGACTGTAAAACTACACACACTGCAGATTCATACTGGATTAAAATCGCTCCACAATTATTACTGTAAAACTACACACACTGCAGATTCATACTGGATTAAAATCACTCCACAATTATTACCGTCAGACTGTAAAACTACACACACTGCAGATTCATACTGGATTAAATCACTCCACAATTATTACAGTCAGACTGTAAAACTACACACACTGCAGATTCATACTGGATTAAATCACTCCACAATTATTACAGTCAGACTGTAAAACTACACACACTGCAGATTCAAACTGGATTAAAATCGCTCCACAATTATTACTGTAAAACTACACACACTGCAGATTCATACTGGATTAAAATCACTCCACAATTATTACCGTCAGACTGTAAAACTACACACACTGCAGATTCATACTGGATTAAAATCACTCCACAATTATTACCGTCAGACTGTAAAACTACACACTGCAGATTCATACTGGATTAAATCACTCCACAATTATTACAGTCAGACTGTAAAACTACACACACTGCAGATTCATACTGGATTAAAATCACAGGAAACACTTAAACTACAGCCGCTGTGCAGGTGAAACTAATCCAGCTCCAGTAGAGTTGAAACCTGAATGTCAGAGAGAAAGAGATTAATTTTTAGTAGTTTAATTTGCTTTGTGTTGTTGATAATGTGACGTTGTTGTAGCTTCTTGTTTGCCCAGCGTTGTTTTCTGTGAAATTAAATAACAGGATTAGTTTTATTTACATTTAGGGTCATTATGTTTTCAGCTCTTGCGCTGGTCATAAGTGGACGGTTCAGTTTGATGAATAATTCGGTTTCATCTTTAACTGATTTAAGCCTCCGTCTGAAAGAGAGAGCTACAGTACCTGCCTCATTTACATATCAGTGAAATAGGCATACTTCAAAGAAATGATCTGCAAACAATCATTAATTATTAATTAACATCATAAGTAATGTTGGAATTTGCTGAGAGTTCAAGCTCGTGATGAATTCTGCACTAAGAGCTTTCAGCAGCTTCACCTGCCCAAACAAGCAGGCTTTAACCCGCCGTCTGAACTGTACAGGTCAACTTTGACCTGTAAATGACCTTCAGAGTGGAGAGTCTGCCGCATGTTTCTGCAGTGAGGTGATGGCGCCCCCTGCTGGTGGCTTCTCAGACCTGCTGTGATGCTGGTTTGTGATGTTTTGAGGTTCATTTCTTCCATCAGGATTTTCCACCTCAGATTAATGAATGTTTTTGTTTAAACGAGATCTATTATTATTATTATTATTATTATTATTATTATTAATGGGGCTGATATGAGAGATTACACTGATTTTACAGTGCTGCAGAATCACAGGCCCAGTTCAGCCGAAGTGCTCAGCATCTGCAGGTCTGCTCGAGTATCAGAAGCGTTAATGAGCCAACGCGTAAGGCTGTAAGTCTGCAGGTCTGTAAGTCTGCAGGTCTGTAAGGCTGTAAGTCTGCAGGTCTGTACGTCTGCAGGTCTGTAAGGCTGCAGGTCTATAAGGCTGTAAGTCTGCAGGTCTGTAAGGCTGTAAGTCTGCAGGTCTGTAAGGCTGTAGGTCTATAAGGCTGTAAGTCTGAAGGCCTGTAAGGCTGTAAGTCTGCAGGTCTGTAAGGCTGCAGGTCTGCAGGTCTGTAAGGCTGCAGGTCTGTAAGGCTGTAAGTCTGCAGGTCTGTAAGGCTGCAGGTCTATAAGGCTGTAAGTCTGCAGGTCTGTAAGGCTCCAAGTCTGCAGGTCTGTAAGGCTGTAAGTCTGCAGGCCTGTAAGGCTCTAAGTCTGCAGGTCTGTAAGGCTATAAGTCTGCAGGTCTGTAAGTCTAAAGGCCTGTAAGGCTGTAAGTCTGCAGGTCTGTAAGTCTGAAGGCCTGTAAGGCTGTAAGTCTGCAGGTCTGTAAGGCTCTAAGTCTGCAGGTCTGTAAGGCTCTAAGTCTGCAGGTCTGTAAGGCTGTAAGTCTGCAGGTCTATAAGTCTGCAGGCCTGTAAGGCTCTAAGTCTGCTGGTCTGTAAGGCTGTAAGTCTGTAGGTCTGTAAGTCTGCAGGGCTGTAAGGCTGTAAGTCTGTAAGTCTGCAGGTCTGTAAGTCTGCAGGCCTGTAAGGCTCTAAGTCTGCAGGTCTGTAAGGCTGTAAGGCGTTTTAACTGTCAGACACTCTGATGGAGACAGATGATTGGATGATTCTGCTGATGCTGTTGGGAAATGAAGTCATTCTGCTTTAGCTTTAATACAGTGACGGTTTTTAATGTGTTTTATCTGATTTAAAGTGCTAAATTGATTTTATAGAGGAGTTAAATGTGTAAATGTGTGTGTTGATGTTATCAGAATAAAACACTCCAGCATGTGTGTTTTGTGTGTGTTTGTGTGTGTGTGTGTGTGTGTGTGTGTGTGTGTGTGTGTGTTTGTGTTATTAATAATGTTAATATTAGTGTCTGAACTGAGCTCAGTAACGGCTCACTGAACCAGGAGTTCATTATTCATCATAAGGTCATGTGGCAGCACTTTACTTTACAGAGTGGTAATATCAGTGTAATGATATGGTAATTACATGTTAACAAGACATTCTAAAAATTACACGCTAATTTTCTAGTTTCTACTAAATGATGATGTAGCAGTAACTACACTATTTAAAAAGATGGTTCTTCAAGGTTTCACTCAACACTCAACAAACCCTCTGCATGCTTAAATGGTTCTTTGCATGATGAAATGGTTCTTCAGACTGATGGAGAATGTGTTGTATATGGTCCTTTATAAAACTGATAGTTCCAGGCCTAAAATCTGATTGGCTGAGCCACGAAACTGAGGGACTGGTAACTTATGTTCTTATCTAGAACCAGGCTGGTCAGCTAGCTAACAGGCTAAAAGATAGCAAACATGCTAAACAACTCCATCATTAATATCACAGGCTTGAATTAAAGCACTTACTGTCTGATTAACTGAAAAACAGCAGTATAAAATCTAAAGAACCTGAATGTCTTACACACTTCAAATGTCCGTGTTTCAGTCAGAAGTCACATCAAACCCAGGCTGAGTCCCAAACGGCTCTGTACTCCCTAAGTAGTGAGCTGTGTAATATTAAGTTTAGAAATTCTAGCTTCTGCTGTCAGATACTGCACTGCCTGTCCAGTATACATGTGTCTGAATCCCAAATGACCATTTTTCAGCTGTATTTTGCTCTGCTGGGCTGCAGGAGTCAGTATTTAAACTCCTACATAGTGCACTATGTAGGGAGCAGGGAGCCGTTTGAGATTCAGCCCAGTGTGAGAAAAGTGGCGTCGTCAGACCGGCAGGAGACTCGTGGTGGTGATCTGGTGACCAAAAAGTACTTATAAACTGAAAGTATTTGCATTAAACAGTGCTGTGATATCGTATGTTCACTGTTATATGAAACTCTAAAGGAACTACGTTTCTTGGCA